CCTTCAGAAGAAGGGTCTAGGCCCGAAATGTCAGCCTTCCTGCTCCTTTGATGCTGTTTGGCCTGCTGTGTTCATCCAGCTCTACACCTTGTTATCTTTGATAGGATGTTGCCTGGATTGGGAGTGTATTAACTATAACATGAGGTTGGGCAAAGTTGGATTGTTTCTCTAGAGCATTGGAGGCTGAGGTGACCTGATAGAAGCACATAAAATTATGAGAGGCGTGGATAGGGTAGATAGTCAAGGGTCTGTGTCTCAGGATCAAATTGTCATATACTACGAGCATAGATTTAAGGCAAGGGCGGGGAGGCTTAAGTTATCGGTATTACTTTTAGGATACTGTTTTGAATTCTGTTCTCCCAGTGATAGGAAAGATGTTGTTAAACTTGAAAGGGTTCAGAAAAGATTCACAAGGGCGTTAACAGGATTGGAGGGTTTGAACTACACAGAAGCTGAATAGGGCATTTTTCACTGAAGTGTCAGAGGCGGAGGAGTGACCATCAAGAGGTTTATAAAATCATGAGGAGCATGGATAGGGTGAACAGCCAAGGTCTTTTCCCCAGAGTAGGGGAGTCCAAAACTAGAGGGCACAGGTTTAAGGTGAGAGGGGATAATTTAAAAGGGATAGGTAGCATGTGTATAGAACGAGCTGCCAGAGGAGATGGTGGAGGTGGGTACATTTAAAAAGCATCTGGATGGGTCCAAGAATAAAAAAGAGTTTAGAGGGCAAATGGACTAAATCAGTTTAGGATATCTGATCGGTGCAGATGATTTGACCGAAGGGTCTGTTTCCCTGCTGTAAATCTCTATCAGATATGAGAGGTAAGTTTTTTACACAGACATGATAGATACTTGGAACGCAGTTCTAAGGGAGGTGATAGAAGCAGATACGATAACAACCTTTAAGAAGCATTTAGACAGACACATGAACAGGCAGAGAACAGAGGGATACGGACCACGTGCAGGCAGATGGGATTAATTTAGAATCACGTCATGGTTGGCATAGTTGGGCCAAAGGGCCTGTTCCTGTGTTATACTGTTCTATGTTTTAATAGTTTAATTTTGTTTTTGTCCGGAGGTAAAACATCAAAATAAAACAAACTTTCATTAAGCCTCCAGGAGGTATTTAGTCATCTGCTCTCTGAAACATACTGCTTTAAAATCATGGTTCCAATAAGACTGACTTAGTTAATTGTTAAATCCATTCACAAAAGACCAACACTCAAATGCCACTAGCTTGAAAACCAAACTCTTAAAAAACATACATGAATCACACATCTTTCATCACACGTCACTTTTTAACAAATACTTTAAACTTGTGCCATTGTCCCTTCAGAAGTGGGAATTTTTACCTGACCTATACTGTGTAAGTCCCTCAAGTTTCTGAATACCTGTCAAATCACTTTTCAGCCTTCGTTTCTCCATGGAAAACAGTCGAAACCTTTCCAACTTATTTTCAAAATTGAAGTACCTCAGCCGTGGAACCATTTTCATGAATCTTTTCTGCCCTATCCCTTTCCTGCTTTAAAGGCAAAGGCCAAGTACAATAATTTATCATGTACAGTTAGAAACTACCTGGTATTGTTTTCATTGAAGTAGATTGGTGTAATGCAAGTTACTGCCATAGAAGATTTCAAAATAATCTTCCTTTCCAGGAGAACATTAAGTGAAATTACAGATATTACACATGACAACTGACTAAATTGTCTGCAAGGAGGAATGTTGTAGGTAGTTACCTGGGTGAAATTGTAGGTTAAAACCAGCTCATAAAGTTGCCTGTTGTTGGGCAGTATATCCCGAGAGCCTAAGGGTCTTGTTTTGGCATCCACAGGCCTGTTGGAAAAGGTAGACCTTTTTATTAATGGCCCACAATTTTTTTTTTTTTTTAAAATCAGACCTGGGACTAAAATAAACACATCTGTCCTTATGCATCTTGGAAAAGCAAACAGATTTGTTTCTGCAATAAATTAAATCAACTCCAACTCTAGGCTCTGCTTTGGAAAAAGATGCATTATGTTAATTTTTTAATATGATGAAGCTAATAAATTAAATTCAATGTCATAAACATTGCACCATGCATTGTATGGAAATCTGAGGAAATTAACTACATGCCCAGGACTACAGGGATGAAAAGAAGAGATGTGTATTTCTAAAGTATCTTTCACGTGCCCAGGATGTCCTAAAGTGCCATACGACTGATGAAGCACTTTTGAAATGCAGTTATTATTGTAATGTAGGCAACACTGCAGCCAATCTGGAGACTGCAAGTCCCAGAAAGAGTAACGAGATAATGACCAGATAAGCCGTTTCTTAAGTGAATCTGATGGAATCCTAAATACTGGCTTGGACACTGAAGGTGACTCCCCTGTCTCTTCAAATAGTGCCATAAGTGCTTGAGACAACAGACAGGTCTCAGTTTAACATCTCATCTAAAAGGCAGCACTTGCAACTAACCCCCTTAGTACTACTGGAAGTGTCAATCTAGATTCTGTGTTTGTCTGTCTGTAGTAGGACTTGAATCCATGATATTCTGACTCAAACATGAGAGTGCTACCATTTAGACAGTACTGAAAATTTATCTGCATGAGCTAAAGCCTTGAGGTAGTGCTGCACTATAAAACATGTACTGTAACAGTTAATTAAACTAATGAACTGTTAAGGTACAGCTGGCACCTGGTATTTTCACACAGCTACTTATTTTGAGTAGAATGTTTACCGAAGAGTTTGCACCCAGTTTTTTAGGGTCGCGACAGGTGAGAGCTCTTCATAATTCAGTGAAGCTGTGGTATCAAATCGCGATATTCCTTCCGAGGCATGCTAGAAGGAAATAATTATAGATGTAGTTAACACTTCTGCCTGTTAAGTTTACAGCCTAGTTCATCATACAGTTACGCTTTCTGTTGAATAGAAATCGTTACTCATCCCAGCTTCCACTCAGTATAAACTTCAATACTTCAGATTACAAACCTGGTCCTTGCACACTCCTTTACAAAATAAATTCATTCTCGGGATGTGGACATCATGGGCAAGGATAGCATTTATTGACCATTCCTAGGTGCCCTGACAATGTGTGTGAATTTACATTTTGGACTAAGTGGCTCTTTCTATAGCTCCCCTGCAGGCTACCTTCAAACTGTCTCCGCGAGAACAGCTTTCCCAAATCTCTTTTCTCTCCCTTTTTTCATGGAACACCAGAGACTTTTCTTTTTGACTACCTCGAACTCTGAACTTTAATCCCTTTCTACCTAATCATCCTCCTTTATTCTGTCCTCTGGTCTTATTGTAGTGCCCTAGGATATCTGTCCAAAAAGCGAAGCATTAGAAAGAAAATCTTCAATTTCTATAACACCTTTCACGGTATCATGATACACTAAAGAGTTTTAATGCCATTGGGGTACCTTGTGAAGTGCATTTAATGTTGTAATGTAGGATACATAGCAGCCACATTATGCCCAACAAACTCCCAAAGAATTTTTATTAACAAATCTGTTTAATGATAAAAACCGAAAGAACTGCGGATGCTGGAAATCAGAGACAAAATCAGAAATTTCTGGAAAAGCTCAGCAGGCCTGACAGCATTTGTGAAGAGAAATAAGAGTTAACGTTTTGGGTCCAGTGACCCTTCTTCAAAACCGGTTCTGAGGAAGGGTTACTAGACCCCAAATGTTAACTCTGATTCCTCTGTTTTAGTGGTATTGGCTGAGGGCTGAATCTTGCCCAGATTACAAAGGATCACTTCTCTGAAATAATTACCGTGGGATATTTATGTATACTTGAATAGATTCCTGATTTAATGATTTCAGAAAAACAGCACCTTTAACAGCATATAGCAGGAACTGCAGATGCTGGAGAATCTGAGATAACAAGGTATAGAGCTGGATGAACACAGCATGCCAAGCAGCATCAGAAGAGCAGGAAGGCTGACGTTTCGGGCCTAGACCCTTCTTCAGAACTTCTAACATGAGTTTACTTGGGATGTAGAAGGAAGAGTTAAAACATCCGATTTGAAAATTACAGCTGAATTCCTAAACATTATTCTGGCGTGTTTACCTGAGCCTCAGCCAGTTTGGAGATGTCCGATTGGCTTCCGATATAATATTTAATTCCTTTTGAGGCTCTGTCCAGGGTAACCTCTTGGATCAGGAGTATGGCCAGAACCACATAAGGGAATGTTGCAGTGAAATAAACCACCTGACCATGGAGAGAAACTTGTTAGATATTCTAGTATTACTGTAAACATTTACTGTATTAGATCCAACTGAATAGTAAGTTAATAACTTGTAACCAAAGTAGAGATTGAAGCAAAACCAAATGGATGAGCAATTACTACCTAAAAGGCCAAATTAACACTAATCCAGAATTGTAATTCATTTAAATAACACAGCATCATTATAACATGTAATCACAGCAGTACAGAATGGCACAGTACTGAAGATCATCCAGCCCAATGAGTCTGCATCAGGTCTTTCAAAGAGCAATCTGAGTTATGCCGCCTATCCCATTCTTTCTCCAGATCCCTGCAATGTTTTTCTCTTTCAAACATATATCCAATTCCTGTTTTAAGACTACAGTTCTATCTA